TAAGACCTTGTATGTGAGGAGCAGGGTTTTGAATTCTGGATTTAACAGGAAGCCAAAACAGGAGAAATCTGCTCTCTCTTTCTAGTCCCTGTCAGGACTCTTGCTGCAGCATTTTGGATCAGCTGAAGGCTTTTCAGGGAGTTTTTAGGACTTCCTGATAATAATGAATTACAGTCGTCCAGCCTGGAAGTAATAAATGCATGAACTCGTTTTTCAGCGTCACTCTGAGACAGGATATTTCTAACTTTAGAGATGTTGCGCAAATGGAAGAAAGCAGTCTTACATATTTGTTTAATATGTGCGTTGAAGGACATGTCCTGGTCAAAAATGACTCCAAGGTTCCTCACAGTGTTACTGGAGGCCAAGGTAATGCCATCCAGAGGAAGAATCTGCTTAGATACCACTGTGGCGGAGGTGTGGTCCCGGGCTCGGCTGCAGGGGAGGAGTGGTGCAGTGAGATCAACGGGGCGGTGCTGGAGAGGCAGGTGAGAACACAGCTGGTGGCGTTCCCTTTTTTAGTGAGACGGAGTGGGAAGGAGGCTGGGAACAGCTGAGACCGGAGCTGTCCAGACTGTGGACTGTCACAACAAACAAAAACTAAAAATAAACGTGGCATCTCGCTATAAAGAAGTGTGTGTGTGTGTGTGAAGTGCATTTCACAAGTTGTGCCGAAACCTTGTCTGGTGGGAATGTCAGACCCACATGCTGCCCAGCCTTTGCAGTTCCTGGCACAAATGCCAGCGGAGATGGTGAAGATGAGCCAAGACCAGGCGGCGCTCCAGCGTGATCACCTGGCAAAGCTGAAGGAGCAGGCGGACCGGCAGACCCAGGTTCTGGAGCGGCTGATTGGAGCTAAACCACTTCCAAGGTGGCCCACTAAACCTGCGGCCACCTTGGAAGTGGCCGCAGGTTTAGTGGGCTCCACGTTTGCTTCCTCTGCTGTCGGGGGAGGCTCAGACGGCGGCAGACTCAGGGCCGCCATCTGAGCTCCTCAAGGAGCAGCTTCGAGGACATGAGCCAGACGGTGTTGGACAGGATGGATCTTGCCCCTGAGGATATTCGCCGGGGAGGATCGGCCGTTTGCTTGGGCCCGGAAACTGCACGACGCGGCGGTGTGGTGGCTGCAGCCGGGATCGTCAGAGGGGAGACGCTGCTGGTGGAGAAGTTGGTGCTGGAGCAGTTCATGGAGGGGCAATGATTTTCCAGGCGGCTCATTATAACCCCATGGCAGGGCATATAGGATATGAAAAAACTCTGGAGTGAATAACGGCCTGATTTTATTGGCCGGACATCCGGATGTGAGCTGCTGGTGCGCGTCCTGCCAGCTTGTTAATCAGCCGTTCATACCAAAAGCGCCTTTGCGCCCGCTCCCACTCATGGAGGTCCCATTTGAGCGCATTGGCACGGACCTCATCGGGGTGTTTCACCAGAGTGCACGCGGCTATCGCTTTATGTTAGTCCTGGTGGATTATGCAGCGCGATACCCGGAAGCAGTGGCGCTGAGCAACATCTCTGCAAAGAGTGTGGCGCAGGCACTGTTTCAGGTCCCGAGTCGGAATCCCGAAAGAGATCAGGGCACATCGTTCATGTCTCGCACACTGCGGGAACTATACGAATTACTGGGCATTAAATCTATTCAGACCAGCGTCTACCACCCTCAGACTGACGGGCTGGTGTAGCGGTTGAACAAGACTTTAAAGTCCATGATTCGTAAGTTCATTAACGAGGATGAACGGAATTGGGATCGCTGGCTAGACCCTCTGTTATTCACAGTGCGGGAGGTGCCCCAGGCCTCCACGGGATTTTCTCCCTTTGAACTGCTGTTCGGCAGGAAGCCGCGTGGGGTGCTCGACCAGATTAAAGAAAGCTGGGAGGACGGTCCGGGCCTCGCCAAGAATGAGATTCAGTACGTGCTGGACCTGAGAGCGAAACGCCACACTTTGGGGAGGTTGTCACGGGAGAATTTGCTCCAGGCTCAGCAGCGTCAGCAACGCCTGTATGACAGAGGGGCTAGGCTCAGGCAATTTTCACCAGGAGACAGTGCTTGTATTACTCCCTTCTTCCAGCTCAAAGTTGCTTGCAAAGTGGCAAGGACACTTTGTGGTCACACGGCGAATTGGGGACATTGACTATGAGGTCGCACGGTCAGACAGGGGAAGAGCACCGCAGATTTATCACCTCAATCTCCTTAAAGCGTGAAGAGAGGCTGAAAACGCTTCTCTGGTAAGCCTGGTTAAGGAGAGAGAGGAGTTGGGGCCGGAGGGGCCAAATTCTATCATCCCCGCCTCCCTGCCTTGTGATGACCATCTCACACAGGCCCAGAGAGCGGATGTTGACGCCTTACAGCAGCATTTTGCAGACGTGTTCTCCCCCCTGCCCGGCCGAAGGTCTCTCATTGAGCATCATTTTGAAACACAGCCTGGCGTGACGGTGCGTTCACAGCCCTACAGGCTTCCTGAGCATGACCGGCAAATTGTTCAGAGGGAATTGGCTGAAATGCTGAAAATGGGAGTGATAGAAGAGTCGCACAGCGCCTGGTGTAGCCCCACAGTTCTTGTGGTGAAGAAGGATGGGTCTCTACGGTTCTGTGTTGACTATCGCAAGGTGAATGAAGTGTCATGCTTTGATGCTTATCCCATGCCCCGGGTCGACGAGCTCCTGGACCGGTTGGGCACAGCCCGTTTTTTCACGACACTGGATTTAACCAAGGGTTACTGGCAGATTCCCTTGTCTGCCAATCCAAGGAAAAAACACCCTTCTCCAACCACAGCTACAGTATCTGGGGCACCACTTGGGGGCAGGCAGGTGCGTCCACAGGTGGAGAAGACGGCAGCTATCGCATCCTGTCCACGAAAGTAGGTTCGGCCAGACGGCTCCCTGGGCTCAGTCGGGCGGTGGGGGTGTATGTCCCTGGCTCAGCTGCAGGGGAGGAGTGGTGCAGTGAGCTCAACGGGGCGGTGCTGGAGAGGCAGGTGAGAACACAGCTGGTGGTTTTTGGTCTGATGACGGTTTCTTCCCTTTTTTTGTGAGACGGGAGAGGAGCGGGAAGGAAGCTGGGAACAGCTGAGACTGGACTGTCACACCAAACAAAAACTAGAAATAAACGTGGCATCTCGCTATAAAGAAGTGTGTGTGTGTGTGTGTGTGTGTGTGTGTGTGTGTGTGTGTGTGTGTGTGTTGTGTGAGTGCTATTTACATTCTATTTCTAAGCTTTTCAGGGCCGAGTACAATAACCTCAGTTTGATCTGAATTAAGAAGCAGAAAGTTAGCGGCCATCCAGGTCTTTATGTCTTTAAGACATTCCTGCAGTTTAACTCATTGGTGTGTGTTATCTGGCTTCATGGACAGATAGAGCTGGGTGTCATCGCATAGCAGTGAAAATGTATGCTATGTCTTCTAATGATGCTGCCTAAGGGAAGCATGTATAATGTAAACAGAATTGGTCCTAGCACTGAACCCTGTGGAACTCCATAATTAACCTCAGTGTGTGAAGAGGACTCTCCATTTACATGCACAAACTGGAGTCTATTAGATAGATATGATACAAACCATTGTTGTAATGTCAAGTGTGGTTGTCATGTCTACGTCTCTCTATGTTTTCCTGTTTTATTTTGAAAGTCTTGTTTCCATGTTCAATGTGTTCAGCTGGTGGCGTCAGGTTCATTTGTGTCAGCTGTGTTTCTCCAGGTGTTTCCAGGGAATGACGTCTCTAATTTAAAAACATGACTCCCATGAGGTGCAGATACATTTATGATGATGCGCTTTCTGCCTGAATATTTTCTGGTAGCGATGCGAAAAAGGGGAACAGGCAGTTTAGGAAAGGGTCCACTCATTAAACCCTCCTAACTTCTTTGGCGAGCAGGCTTTCAATGGCGTCTGGGTCTTCGAGAGCTGACTGGAGGTTTTTACAGGTACAAGAGACCTGATGGCTGGGTAACAATCCCTGGGTGGAAACCTTAAAAACCTTTTACTAAAAAGTTCACCAAGTCTGGGTAAGGGTGATTTTTTTTTTTAAGGCTTCTTTTAAAGCGTGAATATGTATAGGTGTCAAAACAGATAAAACTAGTCTTGTTTGGGGGGTTGTGGGGGCATGCTGGGCAGGAATGGCCGCTGCCGCAAAAAGAGCAGGAGTGGAGATAGCGGCACTAAGACATGAGGCAACTGGAATCAGTTTCTGGAGTTGGAATTATTGCAAATGGTGCGGCCTCCTAGGTTCACGATGGGTCGGCCCTTTCAGTCTGTACCTTGTGGCAAAGGCATGCTAGGAATGGATGCTGTGGGTTTGGAAATTTCTGGTTTAGAGGCTGGACCCAAGCAGGTAAGAGTGGATGTGTGGCTTATGGGCTGTCAGTTGCTTTGGGCTGGAATGCTACAGACGGAAGCAGGATGTGACGGAGCGCTGCATATCTTGCAGGAGAGTGAAGATCGGACAGCAACAGTAGAGTTCCTGCCCCAGAATGTGTCCTGATTAAACTGTTGTAGGCAAGCAGCTGCTTGAGAAGTGAAGTGGATGTGGTACTAGTAAAAGCTGGTGCTGCCGAAGTGTAGGGCGAGATCGAGTATTATGGTCAAGTAGGTATCGAGAACTTGTCTTTGGGAAGGGATAGTAGTGCAGAAGATGTCTCTGTACAGTGAAAATGCAAAAGAAACCTCGAGTGGAGTGAGCTCTTTTGCCTGAGATGGGGCCGGACTGCGCATGATGGGTGGAGTGGGCTGGTTGAGTGGTGGAAGAATGAGCTGTGCTAGATCTATATATTTACTGACAATGCTTTGTTGGCGAACGTGAGCGGATACTGGGAAAGGTTTTGGAGCCAGTGGGTTGAGAGGACGAATTGCAGAGGCCAGCAAAAACTGACCAATATTAGTTGGAAAAGAAGAGTCCTGGGCTGATTACCAACACTCATGGGGTTCTGTTATGTTTTTAAAAAATCTTTTTTATGTAAAGTTACTATTCTAAAGTACATTTTCTGTCTTTTATATCTTTCAAATGTTAAACACAGACAGGAAAACAACACGAACACCACCACCAAAAACAATGACCACTTCACTGACAACAAGAACTGCAGCAACAGCGGCAGCAGCACCCGAGGAAATCTTAGGTATGAAAGCAGTTATTCAAAGAACGACTTTTGCATTATTGTGACCAGTATTTAGACAAAATATTAATTTCTGAGTGTTACCCAGTGTGTTTGTTTCAGGACAAACGTACCAGAATAATCAAGTGTTCAGTTGTGTTCCCATACAGCTGAATAACTGTGTGATCAGTGACTGTAGCTGGTGGTGGATGAGGCTCTGATTCCAGATGTTTCTTTGTCTTCCAGTTGTTGATTACCCGTGGCACATGACTGTCCGCACACTGATTGGACTGCTCTACTTAATCATCATGATCAGCATCACTGCTGTTACCCGGAGGAAAGGTGGATGAGCTCAAAGAGCCTCTGTGCTCTCATCATCACTGTTTTCAGACTCATTGAAGTTTAACATGATTCAGCTTTAGTGCAGATGTTTGTGCAGCTGCACATTTGCAGGTTTACAAATATAAGTCCAACTGCATAAAAGTCTCTGAGAAAATGATCCTTTTAGTCTTAAGAGTTTCAACATGATGTTCAGTTTGTAAATTATAGAGTGAAACAGACTTTAAGCAGTTGTATGATTTATAACCATCCATCATATCCATGTTTATTTTGTGTGTTTTGCAGCTCGACAGATACAGAAGCGAGACAGCAGCAGATTCTGATCTCTGATGCTCCATCACACAGAAGCAGGACACCTGTGTTAACTATATGCATCGTAGCTGCTCATGGAGACTAAAGACAGTGTGGCACAATAGCAAGCTACTGCTGCTGGGCTCCAGTTTGGTATAAGTGCCTTGCAGATTCAGTATGTACCGTTGTGTCCACAATTTTAAATCATTTGGAAAAAAAATTGTTTTTTGTTTTTTTTTTTCTTACAGATTTTATTTTGCTGTTTAGCTTCAGTACGCTGTTGGCTCTGTTGTCATGGCAATAACACCAAATTATACCATGTAAAACTCTGAATAAAAAATAACAAACACACCTGCTTAAAAGTAAATGTTGCTGTTGTTGCATCCCCAAGTTGGTCTACGAGTGAGGACAGTAACATCAAACTGGCTGGAAAAACAGGAGAAAACGGTGAAAACCAAAATAGAATGGGCACTCAAGGTTTCTGGCTAAATTAACAAGACCATCAATGAAGGCTAACAAACACCAACAAGCTAACAAACACGATCAGATCCTAACTAACATACTAACAGCAGTTTCACAAACACAGAGGCCCTGAATGCAGCATCAGTCCAGTTATAAAGGCCCTGGAGAGCATTTATTGGCTACAGGCCTCAGACGTCAGCCAATCCAGTCTTTAAGTCTGACATCATTAGCTGTGTCCAAAAGTCAAACGATCACTGCAGCATCACTGAGAGTTAAAAACTGTCTAAATCCTTTCATATTTAATAAAATGATCAGTGTGGCTGATTGGCAGGTGTAATAATTAAGTTTAACATCCAGGCATCCATGAAAACAGAATTTATTAAGTTTAATGGAGAAGTTAGCAGGAAGTTAGCTCGCTAGTTTCCATTGAAATATAATATTCCATGTTCTGATTGAGGCATTTCAGAAAAAATTAAGTCATACAGCGCTGCTATCACTTCAGACATGAATGAAGACAGAACACAAAACAGCAGTGAGGTTTGTAGGGTTACTAAAGTTGGGCTAGTTGGTTTATAATGCTGTGCTATGTGATCGCTAGTGACACAGCTATGTTAGCATAGCAGACACAGTAAAGCTGGACGATGAACGCTAACCTTTTTCCACTCTATAAAAGTTAATGTGAGGGTTCCCGATGGTTAGGGACAAATGCAATCGCAGGATGCTGTAAAGCCCTATGGGAGGGTTCCCCAAGAGAGACAACCCCCTGATGATCCTCTACCTAATCACATGAGCCGTGGTGTGAAAACGGGCGTGGGTCACAATCAGCCAGGGTGTCGGGTGAGCTCATTAGGAAACCTGGCCCCACCCTATCATGTGATTTCCTGAGGTCAGACGGCCCAGGATGTGAGTGGGCGTTAAGGCGTCTGAGGAGGATCTCAGAACTGGATTATAGATGGCAGACAGTTGGTGTCGTAAGCCCCGCCTCTGTTCAAAGATGGTCGCTCACAGTGGACATAGATGCTTCTTTCACTCTTTCAAACCATCTGTCCTCTCCGTCCAAAATGTGAACACTGGCATCCTCAAAAGAGTGACCTTTGACCTTAAGGCTACGTTCACACTGCAGGTCTTAATGCTCAATTCTGATTCCGAATTTCTGTCAGAATCTGCTGATTATACAGTACAAATAAAATGTTCACGTTTCTCCAACGTTGTCTTCCCAACAGTTTCACTGACATCTACGCTGGATGGACAGGAAGCGTTCACCATGTCTTCTCAGGCGCTGATAATTGTCGTCTGTCTTGTGTCAGTGACGTAAAAGACGGATTTAATGCGACATGACCATTCAAACAGCAGTCGCTTTCTAAAACATCAGATATGTATCGGATTCAGGACCACATACGAAAGTGACCCAGATCGGATTTGAAAATATCAGATTTGTGCCGTTCACACTGTCATAGCAAGATCGGATATGGGGTCAGAAAAGTCGATTGGATGCGCTTTCGCCTGCAGTGTGAACGTAGCCATAGATGCAGATGGACTGCTGAGTCTTGTCCTGTGGAGGTGGCTCTTCTGTGTTGTGCCATGCGCTTGTGAAGTGGCTGTTTGGTCTCTCCAATGTAGAGGTCTGGGCATTCCTCGCTGCACTGTACAGCATACACCACATTGTTAAGTCTGTGTTTTGGCGTTTTGTCTTTCGGGTGAACCAGTTTTTGTCTGAGCGTGTTGCTGGGTCTGAAATGCACCGGGATGTCATGCTTGGAGAAAACTCTCCTGAGTTTCTCTGATACACCGGCTACATAGGGGATGACAATGTTGTTGCGTCTGTCCTTCTTATCCTCCCTCGCTGGTGTCTGGTCTTCTTTTCTGTGCCTCTTTGCTGACTTTAAGAACGCCCATTTAGGATAGCCGCACGTTTTGAGTGCTTCCTTTACATGTGTGTGTTCCTTCTTTTTCCCTTCAGGCTTAGAGGGAACATGTTCTGCCCGGTGGTGTAGGGTCCTGATTACTCCAAGTTTGTGTTCCAGAGGGTGATGGGAGTCAAAGAGGAGGTACTGGTCCGTGTGTGTGGGCTTCCGGTAAACTTCGATGTTGAGGTTTCCATTCCCTTCAATGCAGTCCAGGAAAGGCAAACAGTCGTCCTTTGTGCGTTCCCTGTTGAACTTTATGTTTTTATCCACAGCCTTAATGTGCGCAGTGAAGGATTCCACTTCTTGGTTTCTCTTCAGAACTGAAGAAGCTTCTGGGATGAGAGGTGAAACGTCTTCAAGCAACTTAAAGAAGTCCAGACGCTTTTCTTTCCAAGCTCCTTAGACCACTTAAAGTACATTTTCTCTGAGCAGACAGTAATGTAGCAGACCAGTGGCTGGGTTTTGCTCCTCTTCTTGGTTCAAACTAAAACCGGAGCGCCCTCTAGTGGGATAAGTGTTTGCAGCCACATGGCTGACTAACACCAGACTTGAGTAGCATAGAAGGATTTTATCTTACCAGAAAGTTGATTCTGTTCATCTGTATGTACATCACTCATCCAGGTGACTTCTTCAATCTCAGCTGACTGCAGGTTTCCTTAGCAACAGTACATTTGCATAATGACCATAACTAGTTCTTCTGCTTCCCTGCGGCTGTATCGTCCTGATGACACCCAGTTTGTGCTCCAGTGGATGCTGAGAGTCAAACCTTAAATATTATGGTTAAACCTTAAATAGGTTTCCAGTACACGTCAGCTTTTAGATGTCCCCCATTACTGATGGAAGTATCACAGTCTAAGAAGGCCAGCCTGCCACTTTTCATATCCTCCCTGGTGAATTTGATGTGTTGATGAATTGTAGTACACCCTAAGATTTGATTTTCACACAGATGTGATCCTACCCTGGTGTTCCAGAATAGGATCACAAAGCCCTCTTTCCCACTTCTTCCATGTACACAGGGCTCTAGAGTGCGACCAATTTGGT